GCCCCTCCTCAAATATATATATGGGGCCGTCAATCGACGAGAGCTCCGATTTATTTTGACTATTCAGTGAGAACAACAAATCGTTCTCGACTATCAGTTACATGCAAAAAAATGTAGCCGATATCAAATAAATACTTCAGGGTAATTAAAACCAGAAATAAAAGAACTATAACGAGCTCTAATCAAGCGCTTTACACAATCAAGACCAAAGTTTTGTGTGAGATAGCAAATGAGTGTGAATTCCCCATTAATTAACAATATGGAAGCATCCAGGAGCATAAAATTCCAAAACCAAACAACAAATAGTAAAAACTTTTGTACAGCGTAGGCCTACTTATTTGAATAAATGCTGAACGTGCAAATAAACTGTATCTCATCTCATGAACGAAGAGATAAAATTCAGTTGAACTCAAACTTAGCAACCTCTCTTCCCTTAAACAAAAAAAAGGCGTGGAGAATTAAAACGAGACATTAGTAGCGCACCAAATTCATATCCATTTACAACTAATGACAGATACGAACGCCTCATCCATCAAACATCCCAATATACACTTTCCGTTACTACTAATGGAGCAATCGTAGCGAAGCTATACTCTTAATGCATTAATGGACGGGTAAAAACCTTCCAAACAAAGACTTCTGCACAGATCATATCTCTTTTCGTTTCTTTACTTAAAGACACTGTCGATTCCCTTTGAACTGTAATTTTTGAAACATTCACAGCACTCGAAATGATTTTTTTTTTATTTCTTTCCACCATAAATTGCAAAACTAAAGGAACAATACGCAAATCGCAATTAAAAATATTCTCAGTAATCGTCATGAACCTCTGCTTGTACACAGCCACTTAGAAAAACATCAACTGCAGATAGAGAACAAAAAATACCCAAACCCCTTCTACTCAATATTTCTATCACTGGCAAACAGTTTTACAGCTGTAAATAAAAAAAATGATGGTCTCTTTTCCTTTTCCACAGTCAAAAGTCTCTGCTTCTACATCTCTGTAGTTAGGAAGAACATCAGTGCAGCTTCCTGAACCAACCCCAGCTTTAAAACTACCCAACCGTCTTTCAAGGCCTGCCTTATTCCCCCAAGACTCAATAGCATGATCTCATATTATTTTCAGGGTTGAAAGAACAACCTGTTAATACCTGAGAACGAAGCCTCTGTCACGTAACGATACCAGCCTGTTCAGTTCAGTCAAAATAAAAAAACGCAATAAAAAAACAGGTTTAATACTACTAAAAAAAAGTAGTAGAGAAGAGAATAAGAATAGGACATGAAAGAGTTTTTTTTTGTTTCTTATGAGTAGCACTCTTTTTGCACAGTGCTAATACAGAAAGACTCGCTAAGCAGTAATAAGCAGCAGCTTTTTCGAAAAAAATGCGCTGCAGAAGCTCATAAGTCTTCTTACACAAAGGAAATAACAAGCTGTGTAACAAAACAGTTAGAAGTGTGAACCTCATCCCTATAAACTGTTAAGTTTTTCATGTCCTACATCGCCAGCTGCCGTTGCTTCTTCCGAGTATTCATTGGATTCGTCGAGATTTAAACAACCTTCTGTTAGACAAAAAGGATTTAGTTGAACAGTGATTGCGTCCTCATAGCCATTACAATGACGAAAGTCATAATCTGACAGATGACCATCCTGAATGTCACGAAACATCCCCTTGAACATCATCCTTCTTTTTTCAAATTTTACGTCATCGACTTCTTTAACGATATCTTCATACACACTCAGAAGAATAGCCGCCTCTACAACAAATAAACTGCTTAAATTGAGATTTATTTGCCAAAAGAAGCAAAGTCCTAAACTTTAAAAAATATTGCAACAAAGCTAACCTAAGCTTCTAAGATCCGTTTTGAAGTTGTCGTTACTCAAACTAGAGTGGAAGAACTGGTAAAATTTTGAAAAGTCTACTTCGTCCCTTCGACCCCGAGACGGGGCAAACTGAGAGTCTGTACACAACAGGAACTGTTTTTCACCGTCCTTCGCGTAAGATTCAAATTCATCCCAAAAATAGCCCTTAAATGACATCATCAACGATACCTCTAACAAACAGTAGCTACGAAAAGTTTGAGAGCAACAAATGAAAAAGAAGTGTCACTAAGCCCGCAACCATCTAGCTATAAACCTTACCATTAGAGCATCACAGGTCCGGTCCATAATTTTTCGCTTAGCCATCTGTATTTTATCGACAGCAGTGGACCATGTTTTGACCTAAATCCATAAAAGCTGAGAAAATGCATTAATGCCACTTTTGCGTTGTAAATAAATTATAGCATTTTGGCATAAATCAGTGAAAAAAAAACTGCGAACAAACCTCCACATACTATAACGGAAAAAAAAGTTAAAGGTTTTCAAAGCTCTTTAGCAAGCAGTACAAAGAATTAGAAAACAACAAAGTAATCATTATCAGCGAATATTTCTACCTCTGAAATATCAGAAAGTAAAGTGTCGTTTTTCAGCCATTTTTCCAACTGGTCGTGCATTTTCTTATCATTCCTCTCCTTTACCAAACCGCGTATTTCAACAATTTTAGCTCTAATTTCATCTTCCGAACGGGTTTCAATGCGTTCAAATATATGCTTTAAATAATTTTCATGTGCTCCGCGCCTGAGTTTGGGTAAAATATAAATATAAAATATATATAAATATACAAAAAGATATAAAATATAAAAAATGGAATCTCTACTTTTTTAGTTTTAAAAGCCATGATGGTTTGACAACCTTATGAAAAATAGCCTGGATAATTATTTTAAAAAATAATAAACAAAAACAACTTGCAAAAAACAACTTGAAACTCACTGATTTATACAATCAAATAACGCCTTCAGCTCTTCTGAACTCCATTCTTCACTGTTCTTTGAAGTAGCTGGACTGTCCATTTGCTTCGATATTTTTGGAAAACGGGAGCAGCGAATAAGTCCCTGTAGTTCGAAAAATTCATGGAAGATTAAGTATAAACGGAAAAACAATAAAACGCTCATATAAGTCGAGGTTACTCCCTCTCTTCTAGTCCGATCCCTGTAAAAAGATGCCTCTCTTCCCTTGGAAATCCTATGATCATCCTGTGAGTGGCTGGACACTTCAAGCGAAACAAATCGGGCTTCAGATGTTGAGCAATTTTATGTTCTACAAAAAAAAAAA